TGCTATGTTGGCTAGCACTATGGAAGAAAGAGACTTGGGGGTCATCATTGACCACAAGATGAACATGAGCCTGCAATGCGATGCGGTGGCTAGTAAAGCGACTAAAACGCTGGCTTGCATCCATAGATGCTTCTCAAGCAAATCCCGGGACATCATTCTCCCCCTGTACTCGGCCTTAGTGAGGCCGCAGCTGGAGTACTGTGTCCAGTTTTGGGCTCCACAATTCAAAAAGGATGTGGAGAAGCTTGAGAGAGTCCAGAGAAGAGCCACGCGCATGATCAGAGGTCAGGGAAACAGACCCTACGATGACAGGCTGAGAGCCCTGGGGCTCTTTAGCCTGAAAAAGCGCAGGCTCAGGGGTGATCTGATGGCCACCTACAAGTTTATCAGGGGTGACCACCAGCATCTGGGGGAACGTTTGTTCACCAGAGCGCCCCAAGGGATGACGAGGTCGAATGGTCACAAACTACTTCAAGATCGTTTCAGGCTGGACATAAGGAAGAACTTCTTTACTGTCCGAGCCCCCAAGGTCTGGAACAGCCTGCCACCGGAGGTGGTTCAAGCGCCTTCATTGAACACCTTCAAGATGAAACTGGATGCTTATCTTGCTGGGATCCTATGACCCCAGCTGACTTCCTGCCCTTTGGGCGGGGGGCTGGACTCGATGATCTTCCGAGGTCCCTTCCAGCCCTGATGTCTATGAAATCTTGGCTGGGACCTCTAACAAAATGTAAAGAAATAATAATTGTGCCTGGATTTCTAAGACAAACTGCAAAAAAAGAGAAAAAGTGACAGCCCTCAGACTGAGTCCATGAGCAGGCATTACATTTGTGCTGGAAGAAAGCTCTTTCTCCCAGCACAAAAAGAAAAGAGTACAGTGGATCAAGAGATTTCTTGTGAAAGAGAACTGGCTCTTCTGCAAGATTGAAGCAGATACCCATGAGGAATATCTCCCTCCTCCTGATCTAAATGGAATGGTTATATGCTTCTCGGTGTAAAGGACACTTAATATCCCACAGTCCTTTGCTCTCTCCCCCTCCCTGCAAGGGGATTGAAGGAAGGAGAGCACTGGTTACTTCAGTCCACCCAAAGGCAAGCTGTTAGGGAGTCCTACGGGGATTCTGCCCTGAAAAATTCACCCACCTCCAGCCACCTTGCTTGGGGGTAGGTTGGGGGTGGGGGCGGCATTCTCCTGCAACCAGAACCCTCCACCCTCCTGGAAGGGGTTCGCACTATAGCAAAATGCTCCTGCCTCACTCCCACTGCTCTGGGCTGACCCAAGGCAGCGTGGGAAGAGGCAGTGGCAAGCCTTGCGGAGCTTTGCTGTGAAGCTCTCCAGCCGGGAGACTGGAATGCATGTACACTCTAGCTCCTGAGATGTTTTTCTACCATTAAGAATTTCAGAGAAATTTCAGAAACATTTCAGAGAAATTCTTACCAGTAGAAATGAATGTTTGTCCATGGCTTGAGAAGGGAGTTTCTATTTTGGCCTGAGGTATTATGGAGTTACTTTCCATTGCTGCTTTGATGCATCAGCAATCAGGCACTGTTGGAATCCAGAAGCCATAGCAGATGGACAAGTGGTCTCAAGCAAGATGGTCATTTCTACACCTCTAGCTCTCCACTTCAGTTAATGGATGAAGCGTGCAAAAATTGGGACCATGCTGATGCTTATTATGCTGTAGCAGAGCTACTTGCTATTAAGTACCCCAGGGGTGAAGCTTGAGTAGTCAAAACTTCTTCACTTACCAGCATTCCTTATAGATCCCACAACTAGGGCAGACACCATCTTCAGCATTACACAGGTTAGCTCTTTCTCAGTGCCTTGTTCAGGACTGGGCACCTCAGTCCCAGCTGTGTATCAATAAGGACAGACATTTTCCATGAGACACCTGGCTATTGGGAACCAGAGCTTTGCAAAGCAGATAGAGAACACAGTTTTTCAGCAAATACATATTCCTCAAATGCTGTTCACAGCCTATGTCGGAAACCTAGAGTTATTGATAAAATACAGCATAAGAATGATAATCTAGTGGTAAAGTACTAATGAGGTATCTGGGAAACCTGGATTCAACTGCTGCTCAGCCAGTCTTCCTGTGTGGGACAAGTCACTTGGAGCCAAATCCTATTTCACCATTATGGACCTAAGTGGCAAACATATAGCCATAAAAGCAATTTTTGGCATTTACGCAGAGTTTGTAGTTGCATAGCTATGCTCACCCTGAACTTCCCTTCTGAGGAAGCTCAACAGACTGTACTCTGTCTTGATAGGCTTCTACACAAGTATACATTTAACACCACATGAGTCTCCCAAACTTCACTTGCAGAAAACCCACAACTCAGTGCTAATGAAAGAAAAAGTACCTGTTTTCCTCAGTATCTTAGCTTGCTTCCTCAGCTGAGCCAGTAGCAGACCCAAGAGCCCTGAGTCCCTGAATATGTCGGTGAAGAGCAAATCCCTCTTGGTAATGCTACAAAGGCACCGCAGAGCGGCTAAGGTGCATAACGGCACAAGGTTTTCCTTTATCAAACACTGAACTTTCTTCAGAATTTCATGGGGGATGTAGGACAGTTCTAGGACCACTGACTCCACCAGCTCAAAAAACTGGATCTGAACCAAATCAGTTTTGAGGTGGATGATATCAACAAACTGGGAAATGGGCTGTAGTGTCCATTCCAGAAGGAAAAAGTTCATTAAATCCCAGGTCCATATTGTTTTCATAGCTGATAAGATTCTCTTACAGAGGTTTTGCTTGTTGGTTTTCTGGAAGATGGATTGCAACACCTGAAAAGCCTGTAGGTTTTTTACTGTCAGTCCTGTGAAACAAAATCAAGCTAGATCATTTTAACAGCAAACAGATGCTTATTTGTAGCACTGAGGCATACCAAGGAGCAAAAATAGAAGCCATGGGTACAGAAACGCACGCAGCATACACTGCATCATTGGAGGAATGCTGGGGGGAAACAGAGGCATTCAGTGGGTCCACCACTTCCCCACCTACCTCTGGCTCCATGCCTTCCCCTATGAGGGCTTAAGAACTATGGCAGTACATCTCCTGACCTATGTCAGCTTGGGGGAGGAAAACTCCAGGGAGGAATTCCAAGAGTAGGAGAAAGTAAAGTTAGAGGAAAAAGCATGGGAGCAGCCTCAGTGAATACCACAGCAAAAACCATCAGACACTGATGATAACACTGGAAGGTAGGATTCTGACTGGCCGCTGCCCCTGGCTCCTCTCCTCCCTACCTCCTCGTTAGAGCCTTCTTCTTCCCAGTTTTGTTCCTCCTTCCTCTTCAGATCTGTTCTGTTCCCCTCTCCATTTACCTTCTCTGGCCCCTCCTTCTTCCCAGGTCTCTCTGATTTAGCTAACCCATTCCCAACCAAAAGGCCACCCCAAAAAAATTAAATAAAAACAACAAAGCAGTGACACGAACACAGTGTTGTCAAACCATTTGCTCTGCCACTCCCCAAGCTTTTTGTCAGTCTTGTCCCTTTAGATTGTCAGGGCTCTGGTGCAGGGGCCATTTACTATTTTGTGACTATACGGCACTTAGTACAACGGGCTCCCATTCTCAGTCAATCTCTCACCACTAAAATCATTATAGTTGAAAATTTGTTAAGGAAAAATTACCCTTGAGAAAAAATGGCCTTCCTAAGGCCAGAGGAAAGGTACTGTGATACCCAAAAGCTTGCCTATGTCTATCCTAACCAGGCAGTTGGTTGAATAAAAGATATCACCCACAAACATTTTTACCTCTTGTATATTTCCAGGACCTTCACAGTAACAACATCACCTAATTACTACCATTTTTTATGCAGACATTTCATGGAGGGAAAAAAACTGTGAGAAAATGAGTTGGAACATTTTTGTAACATTGTTCCTATTGGACAATCACATTTATTGGCTGTGTTACATGTACAGCATGACTTCTTTAATACTGATCACCTGTTGAATGATCACCTGTCTGGGGTCTTGTGAACCCAGCATTCATTCCTGCCTGTGGCAGGGGATCGGGCTAGATGATCTGTTCAGGTCCCTCCTGACCCTAGCTACTATGAAACTATTACCTGACTTGTGTATTTAAATCCCCCACATTCACAATGCATGAAAATAGATGCTATCTCATATAGGGTCAGAGGATCATAGGAAAATTGGACTGGAAAAGATCTCATGAGATCATCTAATCCCACCCCCTGCTCAGGGAAGGAAGCAGCCCTGACTAAATTATTCCAATCAAGTGTCTGTCTAATCCGCTCTTGAAAATTCCCAGGGATGGAGACTCCACAACTTCTCTTGGTAGCCTGTACCAATGCTTAACCATCCTCATAGTCATAAAATTCTTCCTAATCTCCAGCTAAAATTTCTCTGCTGCAGTTTGAGGCCACTGCTCCTAGTCCTGCTCTATACAGCCACAGAGAAATTCTGAGGCTTCCTAGGCCTCCAATCATTTTTGTCACTCTTGACAGGACTCCTTCCAAGCTGTCCACACCTTTCTTGAAGTTTGAGGCCAAAAAACTGGGCGCAGTACACCAAGTAAGGCCTGACCAATGTCAAATAGAGTGGAAAAATTACTTCCCTTGATTTGTTCTACTCTTCTTAGTACAGCTCAGAATTCTGTTGCCTTCTCTTCAGTACTGCAATCTAGTCAATGATTGCCTGTCTATTTGTCCAGGAAGTTATTTCATCCCAAGTATAAGACTTTCACTTGTCCTTGTCAAATTTCATCTGCTTGATTTTGTTCCACTTCTCCACTTTATCCAGGGCATTCTGGATCTTAGCCCTACCTTCCAGAGTGTCTGCAACTACACCCAACTTGGTGTCACCACAAATTTGCTAAGTATGCACTCAAGGACATGGAGAAGTTAGAGAGGATCCAGATGCATGTAACAAAAATAAGAAAGTGTTTGTGAAGGTTAGTTTACAGAAAAGGCACTTAAGAGGGGACATTATAGCAGTCTTCAAATGTCTTCAGAGCTGCCATAAAACAGGAAAACACCTTTTCTCTTTTGTTGCAGAGAACAGGATGTGGACCACTGACTTAAAATTGCAGCGAAGTAAGTTTAGACAATATCAGGGAAGACTGCCTAGGGAAGCTGTGAAATCTCCATCATTAGAGGTGTTCAGGAAAAGGTTAGATAAGCATTGATCAGGAGTAGTTATGCCTATGTTGTACCATGAGTATTTCCCATGCTTTTAGGCTTTGTTTGTTGCCATATGAGGACAGGAAGGAGGTTTGGGGTGGGGGGGGGGACTTGCCTTCCTCAGAAGCATTGGGTGGTGGCTGCAGCCAAGGCTAGGGAGTTTGACTAGGGTGTGCCAGTGCTCCTTCTGGAACTAAAACCCAGGAGTTCCTGGCTAGATGGTTTGCCCCTCCATTCAAGTCAGTCCAATCACCACATTTGGGCTCAGGAAGGAATTTTACCCCGTGGTTAGATTGATACTGACAATGGGGGAGTTTGCCTTCCTCTGGAGCATCTCTTGGGCATATTTTAACAACCTTTGCAGCAGCAGGACACTGGCCACCATGGTCCCCCTGTTTTACCTGTAGCAGGTTAGGGTGCTATGCCTTGTGGTTGTATGACAGGGCTGCCTGTGTAGTTTTAGTAATAGGTTAGACAAGGATTTATATGGAATGGTTTGAACAGGGATGATCCTGCCTCAGGCAGAGGGTTGGATTAGATGACCTTTAGAGGTCCCTTCCTACCCTACATTTCTATGATTCTATGATTTAATCCCATCATCCAAATCATTAATAAAGATGTTAAACAATACCAGACCAAGGACAGGCCCCTGGGGAACCCCCTTGATACGCCCTCCCAACTAGATATATTTACATCCCTTTGTCATACACACATAAAGTACAGTGATTCTTTATTTCCTAAACTATACCCACACTGTTATATGTAAATATATATACTGTACCAGATGACTGCCTCTGTTCCAAATCAAAGTGTGATAACTGAGGGTGAGCAATATTGCCAGAAACTTTCAATTCAGTTTTCCCACAAACTGTAAGGCAAGTCATTATGTCCAGCACCTCTTCCAGATAGAGCTGTCCTTCATCATGGGGTAAATCCTCACACCTAGAAAAAAGACTGAAGGACTTAGTCATATGCTTGTAGCACAGTAGCACATATGGCCCTTGCATTACCATGATGTATGGCACAGCCAATATTGAGTCTCCCTCTCCTAGCTTACTTTGCTTTCTGTTCAACTGTTTGACTTAATTGCCCTGCAGCCAGTCTAATGACCTAACCAACTACACACATTGTAACACCATATTTTAGATCAGCACAGAAGCACAAACTGAACTAGACAATTAAAGTGCTTCTGTCAACAGGTGACTGTCAAAGAGAAAGAGTCTCACTTGAAATTAAGTCTGATTATATGTAGTACAAAAGTATACATAATACAGAAGTATTATGTAATCCATGGTGGTTTGTTTCTGAGAAAATTTGGAAAGTCTCTCGGAATTTCACATTTTGACAATGGTTTTAATTTTAAAAAATTACAAATTCTGGTGACCTCCACCAGTTCTACTGATCCAGACTAGAATTCCAGCATCCCGTTTCAGAAGATACACAACTAGCAAATGATAAACCTTACTCTGCTGGAATGTACAAATCTCTGGACAAGGGCCAATGGCAGGGAAAGCTATCAATGAGGATTAGGAAAGCCTCAATAAGAAGAGACCATGCTTTTTAACAAACTGATATGAAATTGAATTGGGGCTCTCCTTTCTTCCTCAATAAGGTAAGTCCTTAGGGTCAGGAGGTCTGGCTTTAAAAGATTGGGGGAGGCCGAGGAGGAAAAACAGAACTAGATGATTCCTCTTTACCTAGAGAAGAGAGTGTAGGGGAAGTCAGCTCACTAAAAAAGAGGAGAGAAAGGAAGCCTGCTTATCAGTCATTTTTTAACAAAGCATACTGGGAAGGTGAGGAGCCTGGGGCCTTATACAAGGCTGGTTCCTTTGCTTCTTAGGCATAGCAAAATCTTAAAAGATTTTTCTCTATAGCATTCTCAATTGAGAATGTAAAATATACCCCTCATCCCAACTGACACAGCTGTACCAATTTGCTCAGTTACACTCACAACAAAAATTCTTTTCCCAGCACAGATTCATTTGTTCAGAGAACTGGCATATGTTTTATCAGCCAAAGAACTCTTTTGCCACCACAAGCTGCATATCTACCAGGAATGCCTGCCATATAATTCTACATGGCCTTGGCAGTGAAACAAAATGCTACAGTGGGAGGGATAAATGCTAAAGTCCTAAATGCTAAAGTGGGAAGATAATGCTGGATAGTAAAGACAGAAGCTCTCAACCTGAAAACCTAGCTAACATTGTCAGAACACCACCACGGAGTGCTTTTGACAAAACTGTTCATGTATACTCCACTGTTTGTTGATGTGGCAGATTTAGGGCCTTGTTGATAATGCCAACAACTAGGGGATACATTAGGGAGTATTGCCTGTAGGCAGAGGCTGATCCAGTGAGGTACGGCAGTGAGGCTGCACCCTTCAGTTAGGCAATGCACATGCGGTGGGCTCTCTGAGCTCACCAGCATATCACTGCAGCCCCTTCCAGAGCTCCATGTATACTACAAACTCCAAGCTCATCAGCAGGTTGGTGCAGGCTCTGGCCAAAGCCCCTGCTGTCACTTGGCTCAGGGAGGCCAAGGGGGTGTGTGCCACCACTGTTTGCCCCCTCCCCTCAGCAAGTGAATTCAGTGGCAGGGAAAAAGAGTAGGAGTGGTGATGGGTCTCACCCTTGGGTTCCAGAGCTGCATCATGTGGCCTACATGCCATACAGCTAAAGGGGCGTGTGGCTGCAACCTCTCGCCACGATCCTGGATCCACCAATGCCTCTGGGTCTTGTTCAGTTACATTCATATTTGTCCTAGCTTGGCACAATGAGTCCACCAGTTTTAAACAGCTTATATTTAAGATCGTTTTTAAATAGAGCAGTCAAAAGTTCTAGTTGCTCCGTGTGATGAAATACTTCCTCTGGATTAAGTGTTCACAACTACTAATGATGTGGGAGTGGAGGGTCTCTAATCAAGGTCTCCCTTCAAAGTAGTTTTTGCAGAAGAAAACCTAATAGGTTTGGTAAGTCCCTAGTCCATCTCTAGACTAAGTTCTCCAATTGCCGATTCAACCCATGGTTTCTACAGAAGAAGTTAAGTGTTGCTTCCCCTATTAAAACAGCAGTGCAATGTTGCTCTTGGTTTGCTATATCAGACTCCTTGTTAACAACAGTTTAGTGTGTTACATACCCACAGAGCTATCTGGATTTTTCTAAAACACAACTGAAATTTTTAAGTGAATCAGCACAGCCTTTAAAAATTGTATTTAAGCCCTTGCTTTACCATCCCCTAGAAACCCAATAAAGACTCTACTTGCCTGAGTAAAATTTTTAGCAGAAGCTGGTATCCATCATTATTCTCAAATTCCAGAAGCAAAGTAGGGGAAATAGGATAAGAATCCTTCACAAAACACAAGACAATACTGACTGCTTCACACATGTCACAAGCAGGCAAGGTGTCAGCCAGTTTAAACAGATTCTGAATGGCTATCTTAATGCAGTCCGTAGCTGTAAATTTAAAAAAAATGTGGTGGTTAATACTAAGAATTCAACTGCAAAATCACTGACAAAAACATAGCATCATGCTCAAAATTACATTTCTCAAATAAAGGGTAATTAATTTCTCTCTGGCCTCGGGGAAGGGAGAAAAGAGGTACAGTAGTAAAGTGCTGACCTTCAGGTTAGAGTAAAATGTCTCTCATATATCTTGACAAAATACTGTTAGACAACAAGAACTGGCTCAAGTCTCAAACACGTAAATGTTTATCACACTCCCAATGAAACCTACATGCTGTAAGCCCCGCCCTTTTGATATAAGGTAAATGGATGGTGAATAATTTAATTAGCTTGTACTCAGTTAATCATGTACTCTGAGCAATGTTTATACAAAGATTAATCCCTAGTTCAATGATGCAAAGTATGGCGTATACACATCTTGCTGTGAAGCTACCACTGGAGACTGGCCTCTTTCTTCTGTTCTAGTGGCCTGTCTCAAATGTGGCCCCAATCATAATTCTTAGACAGCATAACTACTGTCAAGACTGCCTCCTGCTACATGACTATTTAATCTTACAAGCAATGTGAATGAAGCGCCCATGAAATCATGTGTCAGACACTATTGTATAAAAGTAAAGAACATAAAGAATACCAAGACAGAGTGTTGAAACCAAGGTGTTGATTACAAAATTATCCCGATTTTTTCTTCTGAGGGGTACAGTTTAGTAACCTGTGCATGTTCTTCTAAAAGTAGAACATGCTCCCTAACAGAATATTCCATTTAGAAAGAAACTAACTGTTACTGGCAACCAATCCAACTTCTCCAGTGTTTTGAAAGCTGCGAAGTATGAGGAACTAGCAAAGGAAATACCTTTAGAGTAGTAGTTCTCAACCTGCGGCCCATGGACCACAGCCCATATGACATCCTGCATTACTATCAGATAACAAATACAAAACATTTTTAAATGGATACACAGGAAGTAAGTTCTGTGGGTGCAGCCCACATAATACACTGAGAGCTGCAAGTGCAGCCCACTATGGCAAACAGGTTGAGAACCACTGCTGTAAAGCAAGGGGGAATTGTGTTCATTTGGGTCAAATGACTTATAACTAACTATTTTAATATATCTCTTGGTTTGAGTAGATTTGTAGGATGAACTTTGACATTTAGCTGTTGTTTTCTGTTTCATAGGACTTTCATTTCCACATTCAAGCAGTATTAAATAGATCTTCAATGAGAAAAGCCAAAATCCATTCTTCAGTGAAAATAAGGGTGTTGCAGAAAGTAATGGCAATTTCAAAATAAAACTACTTTGTGCGAAATGAATGAGAAACTACACAGCAGCGAGGAAGACACTGATGACAGCATTGTTGAATGCACCCATTGTTTATGACTACGCAGAGGAGCGATGTGGTCCAGTTAATGATCATGGTACCCAGAATGGTTTTATTTTGAAGTTGCCATTACATTCTGAAACACCCTTGTAGAAAACCTATCCAAAATAAACATCTCTGGAGGAGAATTCACTTCACAAATCCACAGGAAAAAAGTTACTAAAAACAAACCTTGTAGATACATGATGCTGTTTTTAGTCTGGGCCTTTGAAATTGCCCGAAGCACACGGCCTGTGGGTGCTTTCCATGAAAGGCTGCAATTGTCCCAGAGGGAGGCTGTTGCTATAATTAAAGACTGAAGCTCAGGGGCTGTCAGAAGTTGCTCTACACCTTGTTGTTCCCTGTACATGCTGAGCATTATCTGAAAAAGAGAATCAGTTGCAATTCAAAGAAAAATGCAGATATTTGGGAAAGATAGAAGGGCCCCACAGACTTGAATGCATCAAATCAGACTTTGGGCTGCTGGATACAGATCCACTGAAAACAAAAGCAGCTTTATACGTGATGCTTTGTAATGATACAGTCCAATAACCATTGGATGAGAGCCCCTCCCAAGTTTCTTAACATAGAAACAACAGTATATTTCTTTCTTCCCAGGCAGCAGAATAAACGACATAATTAGTTTATACTCCAGGTAGGTGGAAACATGGGTTACTTGTGCAGAAACTGGTGAGAAAGCCAAAATTACAAAACAAAATCTGTGTTTGCTTAAGTATCCACTTCCACATTCATTCTTGTTTCTGTAGCAGTGAATTGTACAAGCGAGCCAGCTATCATGAAAAGCCAATTACTGACATCACTATTTTGTAAGGTTCATGAATTACGTGACATCTGGCATTGCCTGCAAAGTCTGCAAAATCCACAGGAAAAAAAAAAGAAAATTATGGAAAAAAAAATGCTGGCTCCCCAGAGGGAGCCAATAAACCTTAGGGTGCTGTTGTTACACCGCCAGGAAGGGGTGGGGGGGAAAAAGGGGGTAGGGGGCTGCCCAGTCCAAGCTCTGCCGGAAAGATAGCTGTCGCCTCTGTCCCTCACCATTGATTGGCTATGAGGGCTGCCTGTCATCTGGACCTGCCCCTCTCTATCATTTGGTGGCAAGAGGCAGGGCTGCATGACAGACAGCCCTCACAGCCAATCAGCAGTGAAGGGTAGGGCCACCAAGGCCTGTTGGCCAATCAGCCTGCGAAATGGCTGCTGGGCCCCTCGTTCTGCCTGCAAAATTGGGGGCAGCCACCTCGAATTCAGCAGGTCCCTAATCATAAAGGGCAATTATACATGTGCTGTGGGAGTGGCAGGGGGCACTTTGATTAGAGCGGCTCCGGGACCTGCTCTAATTAAAGTGCCTGGAGTCTCTTGTGTATCAGCATCTCTGTGATTAAAAATGGTCGTGGGGGCACTTTATCTAAAGCTCAAACAAACTTTAGATAAAGCCCACATTTAGATAAAGCCTCTACCCGCATTTTTAAGGGTGGGGACACTGATACATGAGATGATGGAGCCTGCTGGAGCGTGGTAAAGTACCATGCTCCAGTGGACTCGATTAATCAAGTCTGCTCTACCATGCTGTAATTACAGTGTATTAGGAGCAGCCTTGCTGCTCATGTATAAACACCCCAAAATTCCTCTTCCTGCAATCACTGGCCTCTGATAGGCTGATGTTATCCTTGTTCTGGTGGACCACAGCTCTCATCAGAGCTCTCATAGCTGGAAGCTGAGTAACCCCCTTAGGAAACTGCAACTTCTGTCAACTTTAAGCTCTTCTTATTTTCATATTACTCTTTCTAAAATCCCTTTATCCTACTGTAACAGGATGGTCTGTTCCCTTAAAAAGAGGCAGCCAGCCCTGTTAAGGACATTCAGCTGTGGGACCTTCTGATAATGAGGGAGTGTCCTCCTGGCAGCTTAAAACCCAAAAGGGAGAGAAAAAATGGGAACAGTAAGGGGACAGTTTGCAGGAAAACAGCCAGCTGTGAGCAGAATGGCTTCCTACAGCAAGGGGCGGGCTGCTTTGCTGGGGCCTAGAACTACAGGGGGTTCTTATCCTAGTGTTTATGACAGGGCATGATGATTTAATTTTGTTTGCTTATTAGTCTGCTCATTTGCACCTTAAACACTGTGTTTTAGTTGGGAGGAGTGGTTGAGTAGCTCCTCAGGGACTGAACCTGCCTGGAGAAGACAGCACTTATACCTATCCTTACAAAGGATCTCACTGTGCCTCCCAAGATCTATGGATGGTTGGTATTCTGTCTTGGTCAGGTTTCATAATTAACTCTGGTCTGATCCATAATTAACTCAAGACAGATCTCTGTCCTTTTTATCTCCCTCCTCCTGTGGCAGTACCATAGTGCAGACTGACTCCTTTGTGCAGACCTCTTGTGCAGAATGACTCCTTCCACTGGCTTTCAAGCGGGTTAAGGATATTTGATACTTTGCAGGTTTAACCAGGAGTGATCGAACAGTATCAGCCCAGTTTCTTCACACCTGTTACCCCACTATACTCTGCATCATTACAATGATTCTAAACAGCAAATGGGCTTTTCAGAGCTAACATTTACCTTTAATGTGGTATGTATTTGGAAAATGCCTAACTGGCCTTTGGAAATTTCAATCAATGCACACAGGAAAATTAAATGCCTTGATTATTCTGCATGATATAAAACTCTAGCCTAGTCTCTACAGGGAACTCTTGGGCAGGGGCCAACATTTTAAGGTAAGTAAAAAAAAATCAACTTAGCTTAGTATATATAGTTATTTAAAGGTCAGCAGAAGTCAAAGACAGAATATCAGAATTAAGTTCAAATGCAAAGGCCCACAGATGTAACTCAAGGACTGTACAGAGATTAGTGTTCTACGACAGACATGCAGGACAGGAAATAAATTGACAAAAATCAGGAGCCGGAAATTAGACTTGACCTGTGAAAAAAATAATGAGACTATGGAACTACTCTACCCATCATCCTTTTTGAGGACCTTACTTTCATGACCCAGCTAGGGGGAAACATAAATATGATACTGATGCCAGGAAGCGGCTCAGTGAGCTCACCATGATGTGAGGGCGGATCTAGTGACCGTTTACAAATGAGTCGGGAGGACCAGCAGGCATTGGGGGAGTCCCTGTTCCCCCGAGCACTACCAGGAGTGACAAAAAATAACGGTCACAAGCTGGCAGAGGGTAGATTCAGACTAGACAGCAGGAGGTGCTACTTCACTGTCAGGGCGGCTAGGACCTGGAACCAAATTCCAAGAGAAGTAGTGCTGGGTTCTACCCTGGGGTCTTTAAAAGGAGGCTGGATGAACACCTTGCCGGGGTTGCTTGACCCTAGTACATTTTCCTGCCATGGCAGGGGGTTGGACTTGATGATCTGCTCAGGTCCCTTCTGACCCTACCAACTACGAAACTATGCCTGCCACCCCACAATCTCCTCAGACCCTGGGATCTATTGTGACATCTCTAAGCCTTCATTTTCCTGATCCTGAAATGTGCCCTGATCATCCCAAGCCAGAGAAGAGGACCCAGATGACATCAGTGCCCGAAGTGGTATAATCAAGTCCTGCTCAATACCTGAGCAACCCTTCCCCTTCTACATCCCTCTAGCCCACATTTTTCCTTCATGTTTTTTAAGGGACAGGGTCACGTTAAACACCTTTACCTCTTTGGGCCTATTTATTCCATTGCAATCAACAAAACATGCTAAGGACATAGTACAGTTCTACTCTGGATATAGCCAGGGATTTTTTTCTTGCCTGCTGAGGAATTTTATTCTTCATGTTCCTTACTTCCTCATGGAAAAGGGTTCCAAACTGCTGTTATGGAAAAGCCCTAAAGAATTAAGTAGAAATTCAACTAACAGGGCCCCACAGAAAATACTCAGACTCCTTTTGATTTAATAGACAATGAGATCCTTTCCCAAGAGTTTTTAAACCACTTTATAAAATGCCATAAATAATTAAGTTGTAGCTCTGATGGTCCAGGAATTATGCAAGGCAAGAATTTGGTGGGGAGAAGGGGTAATATCTTTTATTGGACCAGCTGCAGAGTTGGGATAGAGTAAGACAAGTTTTCAGATTGTCACCCAAATAAATCCTTGCCTCTTGCTTATATAGTGACAGAAGGCAGGGTAGACCTGCATTTTATAGACTAACTAAATCAGAGATGCATAATATAAGCTTGTGTGAGCCCAAGCTCACTTCATCAGATGCTGTAAAAGGATAAGTTTTACTCTAGAATTCTATAGGATGGCTTAAAAATTCTCTGGGAAGTTACAATTCTCCTTTAAATCCGGTGGGATTTCCTATAAAGGATGAATCGGCTGTTCAGAAACCCTTGCTCATTCCTTAGTCTTTCTTATCACCTCAGTAAATTCAGGCAACCAAAGACATCTATAGGTGTAATTTGAAGCCCTATTCTCATAAGTCAAAGTTACTTATATGCTGCCTAACAGCTAAAGGAACTTTATCCTCCCAAACTGTGTAATAAATGCTCCTCAAGATGCTGTGGAAACCATGCAATGAGTTAGCTTCTGGAGCAGCCAGCAATACACTTAAATCACTGTAGTCATAGGTAAAAAAGACCCCCTCACAAACTACCAGGACTTTAAAAGTAATACCTTTCATCCAGCCATTTATGACTCACAACATTTAACAAGCAAACCCTAAAGCACAGAAAGTAGAACTGGTCAGAAACTTTCATGTAGATAATATTTCCACTGAAAAACACGGCTTCATATCAACTGAATTTTTTAAAGCAGAAATGTCAATTCTCACCAAATAAGTTGTCTGTCCTTTCCCCATCCCCCTGAGGAAAATTTGAAACTGAAAATTCATTTTGAATAAATATTCATAAATTATTGCCTCAACTTAAAAAAGCTATATTTTTTTTAAAAAAAGAAAGAAAACTGTGCTTTAAGTCAACATGTTAGTTCCCAACAAAAAGTTAATTTAAAACTGGTTCAAACATCCCATGGAAAAATTACATTTTGAAACAAAAAGTTTCAAAATAATATTAAAAATAGCAAAATAAAAGTGATTAATTAAACTCCATCTGATCACAGGGACCAACAATTTATTCCTCTTCCAGGGTTCCTGAGCACTTGAAACAAAGAATCACAAAGATGGATACCTCACCTGAATGAGCATCTCCTGGACTTCAGGGTCATCTTTATTTGCCTCTTCACTGCAGGCTTTTGTTGGAGGAAAGGTAAAGAAAAGGTACAAGCATTGCATCAGAGCAACTGGGAGACCAGAACTGATGATGTTCCACAGAGTCCCCTGAAAAAGAAAAAGCAAAGTTAAGCATGTTGACTATTGACTATCTCCTTCAATGTCTACCCGCTGATCTTGCAGCCTTATCTAGTGATGAATGTACAAGGCTATAAGCCAGAGACTCAAGTATTTTATTCCTCCAGTCATGCTAAAATTCTAGTGGCAACAGTGAACAAGCATAGTGACAAGAGGCCAGGGATGTACAGTTTCTGTCAGGGGGCAACACACATTTTGATAAGAGTTCCTATACCTTGAGGACGGGCTTCCTTATATTTATGTATATGGTGCCTAGGCTTACATGATACAACCTGCACTTTGAAGTCTGCAGTGGACTCTTTAAAAAAATCTAACCTGCAATCTTACTAGCAACTAATATAGAGCAATAAGAAATTCTGTGCTTTGCCAATTTTAGCCTTGGGGACAGTCTACAGCAAACCAGGCCTGTGAGGTAAAAGGTGCCTGTTTTGTTCTAAAAGCAGTATACATACAACTCAGCTATGGCAACTGCATGTTTGCAGCCCACTGAGTCAGTGCATGTAGTTTCCATATTCGTTCAAAAGGCACGAGACAAACTGTCTGAGGGATTTGCCTTTTGAGACAATAATGAATCAGCTTTAGCCCATCTCCTGCAAAGCTTTATACTAGCCCACAACGGGAACAAGGAAGTATCAGTGTGTCTGCTTGGCCTTAAAGGAAAGTGACCAGAAATAAGCTAAATAGAGGGGAGGAGGGTTGCAGTATAAAGCTCTGCAAGATTGTGTTCTAGCAAATATCAAAGCATTTTAAAAATCTTTGAAAAGTACAAATCTTACTAAAAACATTGCAGTGACTCTATCAACAAATCACTGAAAGGAGGCTCCTAACGTTAGGTGGATAATTGTTTATTAACAACTGGTGATAGACTTTAATTTACTATACTTGCATGAGAACAAATAGCATCATGCTGTATGAATAGTAAACCCTCAAATTTGCAATGGGATCCTGGATCAAATAGTACCCTGCTGTTGTGCAATGCTCCTACTACTACTCGTCATTCCAAAGGGCTGCTCTGTTCCAGTGTAGCTGGGTGTATTAATGGAGCAGACAGAAGTGACAATTTTCACCCAATCTGGCCACAGAAAGCATTTCATAGCTGTAACCAAACACAAGTGTATGGCTGCAGACAGCTTAAAAATGGCCAAACGGGTGAAAATCTGACCCCTCATTGCATGAAGTATCAGATAAAGATACTTCAAAATGTAGTGTCTTTTGTAAGATGTGTCTGCAGAGCTCCCAGACTGTTACTGTTTTCAGAATGAGAGGAGGGAAGGTAGTGGAGGGAGTTCAATCGGCGAGGAGGGGGGGATGTTTCAGGCCCCCACCCCCTCCGGAGGATGGGGTGGTTGTATTGGAGCCCCGCCCCCAGTTGGAGGTAGAGCTCCAATTCACCCACCTTTCAGCATCAGCTGAGGAGTCCCAAGACCGATCTACCTCTGCTGCCTTCCTCCCCACCCCATTCTAAATACAGCGGGCACTGGTAGAGAGGCTTGCCATTGCTATGGGAACCTAGCTGCAGGCTCCCAGGGCAGCTAGATTCCCCTCCCCCTGGAACCAACAGTGAACTTCTGTTTGGTCTGGGGTAAGGTTACAACTCAGAATGCTTTGCAAAAATCGTTCTGCATTGCAGCTGGGAGCTGCACTTCTGTTTGTAAAGCATGTTCTACAGAAGAGCAGACGCTTGAAACAAGGTGAATAGTTCAAACAGTGCCACCAATAATGAATCACTTCTGGCTAGTGTTTCCCCCAGTCCTATAGGTTGTAGCCATGAAACTGGGCCAGAGGTTAAAGATTTATTTCAAGGAAAGCCCGGGAAGCTCTACCAAAGCCAGAGTCAGGAGGGCATCTAAAATCTTTTGGCTAAGTACAGATATTCATAAAGCCCAAGCCTGAATCAATTGAATCTTTGCACAAGAGTCTAAACAGTGTATATTGAACTGAGAACCAAATGAATAGACATTCACTTTTGATTCTGGAAATGCAGCCACATGCCTGCAATGGCTCAAGCTAGAAGCTGGGGGGGCTAAAGCAAGCCCTTCCTTCATTTTGGCAGTGGCCAGAAGGCTAGAAGAAAGCTGGGAGAGAAGCCCTCCAGGCTTTTCCGCACTCCCTGCTTGAACTGAGTGAAGGACATGGCCAGGCCCCACCAGACCACTGAGTATGACTGGGGAGGGGTTTACACCCACACCCTGGGCTGCATAGTCCCCAAGCAGGGTGTGCCTGGAGGGGGAGGGGGGAAGCAGCCCCTGGCAGGCGTTTCTCCACTCAACACTCAAGTGGCAGAGGATGTGGCCAACCCCTGGCCCCTGGCTGGCACTCTGAGGCAAAGCGGGGTTGGGGGGAAGGAGAGAGGTTTAATCCCCCCATCTCTCCTCTCTCCCATGGGCACAGGACCCCAGCTAGGGTCTAACTGGCAGGGGCACAGCATCTTCTGCCAGGCTTCCCCGCCCCCCCTCCCCCCACACACACACACTTGAGAAGCGAGGGCAGGAGCAGGAGCAGGGGCATGGCCAGATGCCGGCCCTGGGCCAGCAGCCTGAAGCGAAGAAAGGTAAGGGAGGGGGGTTTAAACCAGCTGAGGTGCGGAAGGACAAGATTGGGAGGGGCTGCTGCACCCCTGCCAGGCAGACCCCAGCTAGGGTCCTGTGCCAGTGGGAAAGGGGAGGGAGGGGGCCTTAAATCCTCCTTTCTTCCCTCCGCCTCAGCACGCTGGCTGGGGTCTGGCCATGTCCCCCGATCTCAAGTGGAGAAAAGCCTGGCAGACTCTGGCTGCAGTCCCAAGCAGGGTTTCCCACCCCCACTGCCACCCCCTTCTCAGCCAGCTGGACCAGTGATAGTGCTACAGCTAGGAAGCAGAGGGGTGGAACCAACCCTGTTCCACTGGAGCAGACAGCACAGCACAGCCGAGGGCTGCAAAGCATCCTGGGATGCTGGGGAACTGTGAGTTAGCTTAAACCAGGAAAGAGTGAAAGGGCCAGAAGTTCCTTAAACTGGTTTGACCTAAATCAGTTATGTCTGATACTACATTCAGCCAGGTTTATTTTAAACCAGTTTCAGCCATTTTGAAAGCAGTTTACATGCCCTGAATTTCTGTTCTGTTGCAGGTTTAAATCAGTTTCTGATCACTTAAATCGGTTTGTGTGTAACTTCTCTCCCTAGCCTAGAGGTTCTATGCCAGGTTATTACAGGCTGTGTGACAGAGTAAGTTCCTCTGCATACTACAGGCTGGACCTTAGTTAATGCTTAGTGGGCACATCTACACATGGATTCATGCACTTTTCCTAATGCACATTAAATTCAGAACCTCAAATGAAAGGTACTAAATACATATACATAGGGTGCCCTAATGCTCAGTACCAAAACCAGATGGTTTTTAAGTGACACTTAATGTGCAGTAGTCTATTTTATTGTTCATTAGCATAATTGCATATTTTTTTACTTGAGGCCTTAGTGCACAGTAAAATAAGCTAATGCACATTAAACCATACATGTAGACATGCCCAATGTATTCTGTTTGACTTTATACTTGGGGAATAATTTCTTGTTAAAAGCTGTACATGATGATGTCCAAGGATAAAACCATGCAGACCAGCTTCACCTAATAGAAGCTGGGTGTTCTGCTGCTGGAATGGCATCTTCACTTTTCTGAGTGTAAGGAAGAAAACAAACTTGCTTTTTTTCTTACCGAGTCAGTCTGTGAGAGCAAGTGCACTGATCTCAGGAGCATGGAGTCATCTTCTGCTTCCCCTTTCTGCTGCAGCAGCTGCCCCACAGCCAGCCGAGCTTCCTCTATCATCACAACAATATTAGACTTTAATACCATTAAATGACAACAGCACTACATTGAGTATCTCTTAACAGATTAAGTTAAATTAGCAAAGCTACATTAACAAATGGCCTGATCCAAACCCCACTGAACTGAATAAAAGGAGTTCAGTAAGTTTTGGTTCCTGCACCAAGCATGCAGTTATTTAATGCAAACGAGATGCTCTGTGTAGCTTAAGACCTCCCCTGGGCAAGGCTGGCAGAACTTTATATTTACCCAGCTGAATAGCTCCAGGAGTTTTCAGCAGCCACTAGAAAGTTATATACAGCTAGTAGTAGTATTTCCTTTAAACTAGAAAGCCACTCAGGCAATTAAATGTCAAGAACCATTATTGCAATCTTCCACAATTAGATCAGAGTGTACAAAAGGTTCCAAAAGTAATGTTTACTTGGCACATACGGGGCCAGCTCCACTAAAAATAATGCTAGTTTATGCCAGGTAAAGATCAGGCTCACTACATTTATTATTTTCTGTTCCTCCTTTTTCTCCCTTAAATGTACAGCATAACATATTACAGGGGACACTAAATCTTAGCCCATGAGAGCAAAGACAAGCATATTCCACTGCACGTGTTCTGTGGCTGTTACCTGCAGGTTTGCCATTTAGTTTCCTCCTGATTTCTTTTGTCAGAAGTTTGGAAACTTCACTTGCTAGAAGTTGAACGGGGAAAGAAACTATGCCAGCTGATTGTTCCCAGGCCTGAAATACAGCAAAAAGGAGCAATTTAGTTGTCTCTGATATAAGACGGCTTGTGTAGATGGAGATGTCCTCTAAAATGGTGAGAAGAGCTTAAAGGATAGAAACAAACTTTTTTATTTTTCATCTCCTACCAGAACAGTTTATCAAACAGCATTTGCTAGACTGAGATAGGAATCTAAAATTAAACAAGTGTGCAAGAGCCAGCTTAGAACTACCTTATGAAAAATGTAATGAATTGGCTAGAGAAATGGTTCTCAGCCTTTCTGCACACAAGGCATCCCTCACTGGATTCAAGGCTCTCCTCCACAACTTTTATGAATTGAGTGGCATCCAATTTAAAAAACGAATTTATATACTATAGCACCCTCCTTGCAAAGAGGTTGGACACAGAGGCCACATCCAGATAAGCAGTGATTGTTCACACATTCAGCTGCTCTCTGTGCTGCAGGATAGCAGTGAAAGGGGGTGGTGGGGGAGTTTGACCCCAGGAGATCCCAGGATCAAAAAAAATGGTACCAAAAAAAAATAGTGGAGCAGTGCACACAGGAGCAGCCTGCACTGCCAAAACCAGAGCCTGGCTGGCCAGAGCCACACTCCAGCTGTCAGCCAGGCCCTAAGCAGCAGGATTGCCCCAGGATAAGGCCCCAGGGTAAGGCTGCTGGGGCCAGCCCAGTGATGGTCCTAGCCTCCGCTACCCCACCCGAGGTAACCTGCCATGCACCACAGGGTGCACAGCACAGGCGTTCCCTGGGGACAAGTAGCAATGGCACAAGGTGAAACAAACGTCCGTGCTCATGTGGACACAGCCAGGGTAGGCAGTCATCCAGGGAGGGTCAAGCCCAAACCTGTGCTTGTTTAGTCTATCTGTTTATCCCCTCACACCTCACTACACTCTTTAAAGGATATGGAGGCACCCTGGTTGAGAATCACTGGGCTAGAGCCCATGTGACATTCAATTTTCATGTGGCATTGCATAACTTGGCCCCCAAGGAGATGAAGGTGACAGAAATACAATTCCCACAAAACACTGCAGGGGCTCACAAATACCAAACCTATTGCTGATGCCCGCCCCCAAATTATTTTAATTCTACAGTCACCATGCTGCTCAGATTGAAACTAGCAAGCAAAGTCTTTCCAAAACAATATATTTTATGGAAAGTTTCAGCATTTCACAGACTATTAGATTATCCCCCAGGAAATAAACGCTGTTTTTTCATCAGTTCCTATATGGAAACCTGGGTGTGGAAGAGACAAAATATTAATTTTCTAGATCACAAGTTGATTGATCATGCTTCTTAAGTAGAAACATGAACTCCCTGCGTCTTTCCATTAGGAAGCTGAGGCCATTGTGTGCAGCAGAATGACAACTGAAGCTCTTGGAGGGCTAGGGATTTGATACAATAGCATAAAACAAGTTGATCCCTTGGCACTACTTAGATCCTGCTAAAGGAAATATTTAATTTCAGTAATATTGAAATAATGACAATAGACACTTACAGCCCAGTATCTGTAAATATTTTGTAGAGCATGAGGAAAAGACTGTCCCAGACTTATACAAACAGCAAATCATTTGCCCTGCCCAAAGCTGGACAGTTAATCAGTGGCAGAGTTGGCAGTGAGTGTAGGAGTTTTGATACTTAGTTCCCTGCTTTGACTGCAAGCCAAACCCTTACTACATTAAATGCTTATTCACTGAAAATATAAGAGAGAAAACAGTAAAATTTCATGGGCTTCCTTATTTTTTCTTGAGCTATTCAAAAGGCAGTTTCTCCAGGACACTAAGTAGATTCATTGCCATTTAGATCTACATAAAAGGTTCCTTAATAGAGACTTTTAAAATCTGTTTATTCTCCATAAAAATTATCTAATGGAACAAGGAAATTTCACTGAAACAATATCGTCAGGACAGATGCTGCTACTTTCATACATAGTGCAAAGCACTGTTGACTCTGGCTCTTGAACCTTTCTGTTGAAATACTGTCTACAAACTAGATTTAGGATAAATCACTCAATATACCTATAAAAATGACAGTCCCTGATACAAGATTACAGACAAGATCTAAGAGCTGGATGCGGCAAACAATACTGTGCCCAGTTCTGGTCCCCACACCTCAAAAAGGATATAGAAGAATTAAAGAAGGTACAGAGAAGGGCAACAAAGCCAATTAGCAGTATTGAGGGGTATTCAGGCTAGGCCTGTTCAGTCTAGAAAAAAAGATACTTGAAGGGGGACATAATAAGGGTCTATAAAATACTAAATGGCAAAGAGAAAGTAAATAGGGATTTATTATATACTGTCTTTCACAATACAAGAACCAGGAGTCACAAAATGAAACTAGTAGACAGTAATTTTAAAACTAACAAAAGGAAGTTCTTTTGCACACAGCGTGTAATTAAAGTGTGGAACTCTTTGCCATCAGATTTTGGGGAAGCTGACAGTTTAGCCAGGTTTAAAAAAAGAATTGGACAAATTCTTGGAGGAGAGAGTCATCAGTAGCTATTGAACATGGGAGTTAGGAGTACAGCCTCTGAATCAGAACTTCCTAGACTCTGCATTCTAGAGGCTACAAGTGAGAAGGGAACAGTGGGGAAAAAAACCCTGGTCATACCCAGTTCACTCTGCCTTTCAGCATCCACTCTCTGCCACTGTAACACAGGATAAGGCCAAAATTAACCTATGGTCTGATCCAGTAAAGGGCAATTCTTATGTTCTTATGCTCCCAACAAGTGATGCAGGCCAGGGGGTGAGATTCTATTCCTCTGTTAGATGTGTAAGTAAACTAAGGACCTCTGTGTGATTTTATGCCACCCTACTTGAATCCCTGAAAAATTGTGGGTGGGTCTCCCTCCTTCTTGCTGCTTTTTTGTAACTCAATCTTAAAGGTCAGAGTATGGTGTATTACAAAAGTAGGTGCAGGAATGGATTTTCAGGGACTTTAAAAAAGGTGGTATAGAATCACATGTAGGCATCTAGAAGTGGGTCTGACTGCTCAGAAATTTTGGCTGTCATGTGGAACACTTAGTACTTATTAAATCTGTACAGTGTTAAAGTCAGAACGTGTTCTGAGAAGTCGCATAACACTTACTATGATCTCTAAGATGCACAGCTTGCTGATTGCCAGTCCCAGCCCCAGCATTGCACTGGGGTCCTGAACCAATTCTGGTACAATCCCACGGCTGTGACACACTGGAGTCTTGAACAAGCTGCAGGTGTAGTGGCAGGGCTGGATCCATCTGATTTTCTGTCCCAGCCCCAGCAACACACCAAAATCTTGAACCAGCTCTGATGCAGTGTAGTCTGGGACCTTCAATAAGCTGTGGCCACATCTACACAAGACACTGACTGCTCAGTAGCTCAATACTACTGCGAAGTAGCATTGTGTGGCAAAAACTGATGTGACACTATGTGCAGTAGTATTAGGCTACTGCATAGTAGCATCACAAAAAAGACATTCGCCAGCACTACTGCGCAGTAACTCAGTTTACTGCACATTTATTTAATGTTCATATAGATGCAACCCATCAGTCCCAGGCCTGGTACTGGAGTCCCTTCACCAAGGCAAAAAAGCAGGATCAAGCCCCTGATGTACCGTAATACCATCTGCATGCTGACTGTAAGGCCCAAAGAGAAGTGGGGGACTTCAAGAATGAGCCCCTCTGCTTGTTGTTCTAACTTACAACTTGAATGCATGCCTTGGGGTACCACCAATAGCTCATATTATTTCTGAGAAGCTGTACAATGATAACTGAACATGTTACTTAAAATTATCTGGAAAGACTCCTCCCACAAAAAGTCCGAAATTTGTTACAATAGGATGGCACTTAGCACATGTTTTACCATTTGAACATGTGGATACTCATGTTTTAACTGCAGTTAACCACAACCTAAGTGTAACATGTGACACAGCCCTGTGACTTCTTGGTGCTCTTACCAGTTCCTTTTTAACCCAATTTTAATCCAAGTCAAAAAAGGCCGTGAGGGTGCAAACTCCCCATAAGGCGATGTATCCAAATATAAGACACCCAAATTTAGGGATTAAAAAATGCCAACTTTAATAATTAGGGAAAATACTATAACAGAACTGTGGAAGATGAAATATAAAAATAAAGGCTTAAAACAAACTCTCCCCTAATGCTATTCACTCTCACACCTGGCCAGTGCTTTCTTCTCAGTCCCCAGCTGGTTCCAGTGTTGGGGAGGAATCATCACTGTCTCTGCAGCAAACTCCCACCTTGTCCCCAGAGCTCTCATCCAGCAAAGGGGCAGGCAATTATTTTGGGTGGAGGGCTGCTTACTGAGTTTTGGCAAGCCATTGAGGGTCACATGACAGGCAGCCAGGGGCAGATAAATATTACTTTTCTAATTTTTTTAGGGCACCCACAGGCCGGATAGAATGGCCTGGCAGGCTGGATCCAGCCTGTGGGCTGTATTTTGCCCACCCCTGATCTAGCACCATCCAGAGGGCACAGTGAAATTAGTCAGACCACCCCCAGCCCTTCTGCATTCCGCCATTTTTTTTTTCATGACAGAACAAAACCCACCCAGAAAAGAAAAAGCAACACTTTCATTATATAACATCAAACAAGCAATACAACCACATAATCATAACACCAATCAACATAAACTGTCAAGCTAATTTTATTTAGATTTGGCAAGGGGAGAAAAAAAAGTATCTTGCAGGATCTGAGAGATCACATCTTCCTAAAATGTAAGATATGGATGAGTAATAAAAATGACAATTTAGCCCATCAAACTTGACTTGCAAGAAAGCCAAGGTCACTTAAGTGATCCAGGGTTGTTGCACTGCTACTTTAGGGCAATAATTTAGATCATTCTAATCTAAAAACACACGCCCCCTAATTTTTAGGAGAATGCTCCTGGTGGCAAGCAGATCAAGGCCCAGAATACACTGTGCACAGTTCTGACTCATAGAATCATAGAAAATAGGACTGGGAGATCATGTAGTCTAAACCCTTGCCCAAAGCAGGACCATCCCAAC